TGACTTTTGGTGCATCCTACAGGTTTTGACACATAGCATTTTGATTGTTATACAATTCTAAGTATTTTTAAGTTTTCATCATCACTTTTTGTCCCATCATTTAGAAAGGTGACTTTAAAATGTATAAGTTTTTAAAATATTGTAATTAATTTCTAATTTAATTGCACTGTGTTCAGGCAATGTGGACCGTATGACACCAATTCTCAGAGATTTACTGATAGTTGCTTCCTAAGTTAGAAGTTGCACAAGGAACACTTGTAAACACTCCACACCTTGATTTAACAGTTGTTAATATTCCATTTGTTCTCCAGATGAATGTCTCATTTTTGTGTTCAGGGCTTGCATGTGTCTGTTAAATCATTTGTTACTTACATTTAGATCCTTTATATCATACTAATTTTTGTCTGCTTTACCTGTTATTCAAACTAGTGCATGAAATCTCAAATTTTGATGATGTTTCAATGACAATTTCTCCTTGTGGTTTTTTGGTTTCTCCTTTGTATATTTTAAATTTTTATGACCCTCATCAATTTAAAATTGTTTCTTCCTCATAAATTGAACACTTTGTCATCATGTAGTCATCCTCTTTATCCTTAATGAAATGGTTTTATTTAAAAGTATATCTTATCTGATGTAAACATAGCTATTCTACCTTTATTTTTAAGATACGTGCCCGGTATGTTTTTTCCATCATTTTACTTTCTGCTGCTCCATTTCCTTATATTGTGGATGTGTCTCTTGAAAGCAGCTGAAGTTGGATTTTAATTTGTTTTAAAATCGAATCCATCAATCTCTGATTGTAACTGGCAGGTTTAATCTATGTATTTTTGTGATTACTCACATATTAAATGGACTTGCTTCTGCTGTCTTACTTTATGCCTTCTACTGGTCTTTTTTTTTTTTTTTCTTTCTTTTTTTTTTTGCCCTTTTTAAGAAAACTTTTTTTTTCTTGACTTTTTATTTTTTTAACAATATTTATTACCTTTTTGTTTTTATATCCTATTTTCCCTCACTAGACTTTTGGTAGTTACTTTCTATTTTTGTTTTTCATTTGTGCCCTTAAAATTTGTAATGCTTTTTTTTTTTTTTTTTTTTTTTTTGAGACAGTTTCCCTCATTACCCAGGCTGGAGTGCAATGGCGCGATCTCGGCTCACCGCAACCTCCGCCTCCTGGGTTCAGGCAATTCTCCTGACTCAGCCTCCTGAGTAGCTGGGATTACAGGCTCGCGCCACCACGCCCAGCTAATTTTTTATATTTTTAGTAGAGACGGGGTTTCACCATGTTGACCAGAATGGTGTCAATCTCTTGACCTCGTGATCCACCCGCCTCGGCCTCCCAAAGTGCTGGGATTACAGGCTTGAGCCACTGCGCCCGGCCTTGGCTGCTTTTAAGTTTTGGCGTGGTGTCCTGTATTTACCCATACTGTGTCCAACTGCTGCTTCCTATTTATCTTGCCTGTCATATCTTTTTTCTTCATCTATGAATTCATGTCATTCCTAAGTTCTAGAAAATGATCATCTCTTTATGTCTTTAAATATTGACTCTCGTTATTTCTATCTTATCTTTCCAGAATTCCAATTAGATACAGGTTAGATCTTTCCATTTCATTTTGTCTCTAAAACTCTTGATCATCTCTGTGTTCTATTTCAGCATTTTTTATAGTTCATTATCCTTCTCTTCAGACACATTTAGTACTCTGTTTACTCTTTCACTAAGTTTTACAAGTTTTGTTTTAAATTGTGAAATTCAAAGAAAATTAGAATGAGCAGAGTCATAAATACCTGTGTATCTTTCACCTATATTCTCTAACTTTTACTATCTTGCTACTCTATGTGTATGTGTATAATGTACACGTATATTCACATACACATATCCTATCCTACTTCCCTTTAGGAAAACCATCAGAAGACAGGCTGCAGCCCACATCATATATGTTACTCTTAAGTACGTCAGCATACCTACTTCAAGAACAAAGACATTCTCCTATAAAAACATGATACTATTATTACATACAAGGATATTCACATAATATCATCCAACATTGTTCATACTCAAATTTTCCCGATTGTTCCCCAAATGTCATTTCTATTAGCTTTTTTCCAATCTTAGATCGAATTAAGATTCACATAATTACATTTGACCATTTTGTCTCATTAGTGTTTCCCACGTCCCTCTCTTCTTCATGATTATGAAACCTATAAACAGTGTAGGCAAGGTGTTCTGAAAAACATTCTAGATTCTGGAATCATCCAATGGTTTACACATAATTAGACTTGGATTGAACATCCTATCTGAGGTCCAGCAACATGCTCATGTAGGTAATGTTGCGTACCTCCCACTGCTTCCCCTTGGGTGGCATGTAACATCAGATCTCCCCATGTAAAGGCGCATTTTCCTATTTGTAATTAGTAACTAGCACGCAAGTAGTTCTGTGAGACTGTTTAAACAGCCTGTTCTTCAACAATCTCATGTTCCTCAACACCACATTGTTTTGGCACCCTATAATGATCAGTTATATTTGTTATTAACATTGTTATTACATTGTTAACCACAAACTGGTGATTTTCTAATTCTTCCATTCCTTCTACATTTATTAGCTAGCATTGTTGTATAAAGAACCACCTTTTCTCTCTTCCTTTATTTTTGGGGGTATCTATATGGGCTTGTAGATTTTAAAAATTCAAAGTGTTACAATTCATTATATTTATACTTTTTAATGTTCAACTTACTCAAAATTAGGCCAGTGGGAATCCCATCAAGATGATTCCTTTGTTCTTTTGAAAAGGCATTGTTGGTTTTTAATGATTTTCTTGCTTTTTGGCATAGCAAGTTTTTCCAGCTGCAGTCTAAAATTAGGACTTTAAAAGGAAACTCTGTTCCTTTTAAAGTAGTTAGAAACCACAACGTGGTCATCAGGCATGCTCACTGTCATTAGGGTGTCCCATTTGGGTGTTTTATTTCAACACTTAGATTTTCCATTTTAAAAAGCAATTTGTTTGTCAGATCAATGTGGTCATTTAAAGCAACTTCAGCAAAGTCTCAGGATACAAATCAATGTGCAAAAATCACAAGCATTCCTATATACCAATAACAGACAAACAGAGAGCCAAATCTAGAGCGAACTCCCATTCACAATTGCTACAAAGAGAATAAAATACCTAGGAATACAACTAACAAAGGATGTAAAGGACCTCTTCAAGGAGAACTACAAACCACTGCTCAAAGAAATAGGAGAGGACACAAACAGATGGAGAAACATTCCATGCTCATGGTTAGGAAGAATCAATATTGTGAAAATGGCCATACTGCCCAAAGTATTCTATAGATTCAACACTATCCCCATCAAGCTACCAATGACCTTCTTCACAGAACTGGAAAAAAACACTTTAAACTTCATATGGAATCACAAAAGACCTTGCATAGCCAAGACAATCCTAACCAAAAGGAAAAAGGTGGAGGTATCACACTGCTGGACTTCAAACTATACTACAAGGCTACAGTAATCAAAACAGCATGGTATTGGTACCAAAACAGAGACATAGACCAATGGAACAGAACAAACATCACACATCTATAACCATCTTTGACAAACCTGGCAAAAACAAGCAATGGGAAAAGGACTCCATGTTTAATAAATGGTGTTGGGAAAACTAGGTAGCAACATGCAGAAAGCAGAAACTGGACCCCTTCCTGTCACCTTACACTAAAATTAACTCCAGATGGATCAAAGATTTAAACATAAAACCTAACACCATAAAAACACAAGAAGAAAACACAGGCAAAACCATCCAGGACATAGGCATCTGCAAAGACTTCATGACTAAATCACCAAAAGCAATGACAGTAAAAGCCAGAATAGACAAATGGGATCTAATTAAATTCCAGAGCTTCTGTACAGCAAAATAAACCATCATTAGCGTGAATCGGCAACCAACAGAACGGGAAAAAATTTTTGCAATCTACCGATCTAAGGGCTAATATCCAGAATCTACAAAGAACTAAAACAGATATACAAGAAAAAAACAACCCCATTCAAAAGTGGGCAAAGGATATGAACAGATACTTTTCAAAAGAGGACATATATGAGGCCAATAAACATATGAAAAAATGCTCATCACTGGTCATTAGAGAAATGCAAATCAAAACCACACTGAGATATCATCTCACACCAGTTAGAATGGCGATCATTAAAAAATCTGGAGACAACAGATGCAGGAGAGGATGTAGAGAAATGGGAACACTCTTACACAGTTGGTGGGAATGTAAATTAGTTCAACCATTGTGGAAGACAGTGTGGCAATTTCTCAAGGATCTAGAAATAGAAATTCCATTTGACCCAGCAATCCCACTACTGGGTATATGCCCAAAGAACTAGATAGCATTCTACTATAAAGACATATGCACACATATGTTCATTGCAGCCCTGTGTACAATAGCAAAGACCTGGAACCAACCCAAATGCCCATCAATGATAGATTGGACAAAGAAAATGTGGTATATATACACCATGGAATTCTACACAGCCATAAAAAATGAGTTCGTGTCCTTTGTGGGACTTGGATGAATCTGGAAACCATCATTTTCAGCAAACTGACAAAAGAACAGAAAGCCAACCACCATGTTCTTACTCATAGGTAGGTGTTGAACAACGAGAACACATGGACTCAGGGAGAGGAGCATCACACACTGGGGACAGGTTGGGGGGTAGGGGAGAGACAGCAGGGGGTGGGGAGGGAGATGGGGAGGGAGGGTTAACATAGGGAGAAATGCCAGATATAGTATGCACCTAAAGTAAAATAAATAAAATAAATAAATTGAATAAAATTAATTTTAAAAAGTTATCTCTTGATCCTAATTATATTTTAATATCACGTAGCAATAGATATTTGTCTAAATATGATAAAGAAGGAAGAAAAACAAGAAAAGGAAGAGGAGGAAAATAGAGATAAGAAAAGTGGGGGGCATTTTCATTTATCAAGTAACACCAAGCAGACAATACCTTCGGAACTGTCGTGGGGGTTGCTTTGGATCTGTAGAGCTAAGTCTATTGCACTTTATTTTGAAGTTTAGTGGTGGATATTTGTTGACTGCACCTAAAAGAAAAAAGTCTGTGATGAGTCTTGTGTTCATGACTGTTAACATTACTGCAATCGGCTCTGTATACAAAGCGCCATTTTACTGTTTTAAGTAGTCATTAAAAAAAAAAACCAGCTAAGGTAGTCACATGAAATAAAAGCAGATTTCTCAGGGGAATCTTTAAAACTGACTTTAGAAAACACATCCCTTCTGAATTTGTAGGTGAATTCAACTAACTTTTCAGTAAGATCCTCTTAGCTGCTAAACTGGGTCAACCATTAGAGGAGGTATCATGAGCTAGTTCTAATGATCTGGCTTTTAATTAATATGAACAAAGGTAGTTATTTATTTGTTCCTTTGAAATATCAAAAATGTAAAGGAAAAAAGACATTTTCTTTGTGGTCTTTGAATCACTAACAACAGTAACATCAGCACTAACATCTTGGGTTCAGTTCATTAGTGGCTCTTTTCATTTGGAGGCGAATGAATTTTTCATAACAATAAAGCATGCCTTTTTATATCATGTAAACATTCAAAAGCCATTTTTGATGGGAATTCTTAAAAATGTATTACGTATTCCTTTGAAGTATTAAATTAAATAGATTTGCTAAACACAACCAGATCTTTTCCTGGTAACCCAGGGTCATCCTAAGTCGATTCGTCCTGGACTGCGATCCAACACTGTCTGCAGAGCTGCTGTTGTAGGTAGGACTGTGCATGTTACACTGGATGGCCTAAGACTGTGAGGCTACCCTTACCGTGCTCCTGATTTTTAAACTGTATCTGTGTTAAGTATCAGATGATTTGTCAGCAGTTTTGTTTCTCTTGGAAAATGTGTTGATTTTGATGTGGACTGTGCTTGATAGCCAACTCTATTATAGCAGTATATTTAAATAAGAGCCACAAAGCGAGGGAGCAAGACCAGAAGACCCAGAAGAGCAGTCAGTCACCAAGACTGTTTCAGTCGCTCCTTGATCTCCAGCATCAGAACAGTGAGTGGCTCAGAGCAGTTCCCTGGTAAATACACGTTAATGTTGAACACATTACTGCAAGTCTGTGTTCCTGCTACGGAAGTAAGCATGTAGACTTGAACATGATTATGCCAAGTTTTTCTTGACTTGTACTTTTATAGTTACGTTTTAAAGATTGCAGATTTATAGACGTCTAAGTTCTAGAAGAATGGTGTATATTTTCATCAAGGTTACAGTTTTCCCAAAGCACTTTATGTATCTCTCATCTTCCCTAAGTACTTTTTTCTTAAAACATCTTTTGACCTTTCCTCAGTTGAGGGGGTAGGTGGTGCCATTTATCTAATAACATAATTTGACTAATTACTCATGGAACACTACCACGAATTTTTGGGAGATAGGGAAGGAAATTCCATTTTAAGACTTCTTCCAACTTCTTGCCTGATGGGAGCTTCTTTATAAGTGTATCAGTTTTTCGAGGTTTACTTTTATTTTACCCATACAAATGCCTTATGATATCTTCCTTCATTCAGAATGACCCCCTTCTCAGTTCTTCTTTCCTGTTTCGATTCCAGAATACATCCATGTAAATTTCACTCTGGGAGCCTACTGTTCCCATCCAAGTGTTTCTCAAGCCATAACATACACATGAGTCACCTGGGGATCTTTATAAAATGCAGATTCTGGTTCAGAATGATTAGGTTGGGTCCCAAGATTCCACATTCTAACAAGCTCCCCAGTGACACTGGAACTCCTGGTCCTAGAGTCAGTTTGAGTAGTAGAGGATATACTATCAGCCCCAACAATAATCTCCAAAGCTCCTTAGACCTCACCCTATACTGGTAAGTCGGTGTCTCTATAAGCTTTAACTGGCACATTTGAGACACAATCAAGACCTCATTTGAGCTACACTGCGTACTCTTTTACCTATGTGTTCATTTCTCTCTATCTGGACTCCAAGGGATCATTTACCAAGGAAACATTTGCAAATCCTCCAAGTGCTCTTCACCCTTCAGAATCACATTAGAATATAGCTTTTTATCCATCCTGTTGCATTCAAAATGGATTGCATATGGATTTCATTCCAAAATGGATTACTCTAAGAAATGCAGCCCGTGTTTATTTTTTATTGGGCACCAGTTACACTAATTACTGGCATCATAAAAAGAGCCATTAACAAGGCTAAGAAAGTTTTGCAAGGCTGTATTTTTTATTCTGACAGGTAACATCTCCTAACACTTCAAACTCTGCCTCAGGAACTTGGGAAAGAAAAGCCAAGAACTGTTTCATTTTTCTCTGGCTCTCTTTTTCGGTGACTTTACAGATGAAACTTTCCATCAAGGCAGAGTGTGCTAAGGTTACATGGCAAGGATTTCTACTCTGTAGCTGAAGTCCGGGCTGTGACTTCTCACCCCCGGACTGCACTGCTTCAGAAGACACTGCTTGTTATGATTGCTTCTCCATAGGAACCAGAGGCATAAAAAAAAAATGAGCCAAAAAACTAAATGCGTAGGAATCAGAGATTTCCTCCCTTTTACCATCCGTCATTATATATTTTCCTTTCTGACCCTGAAGTGCCCTTGAAGACAGACAAGAGGTTTCCAAGAATCCATGTTAGCTCAGCAACTTTTTTTTTTTTAAAAGGAATACCAAGTAAATTCTTAATGTGCAGAGAACAACAGATTTTATGACTTACGCCTGATTGAGTTTATAAAAGACTTCACAAACTTCACACCATAACTGTGGTCAGGTTTATGAATTCGGCCAAGCTGAACCAGGTGATGATCCAAAGGGTGACTTGCGAGATCCTCCAGCTCCTTATCATCCCAAGTAGGGCCGAGGGAAAAGACGAACAGGGCATACCCCTGACATTTGGCTCGCAAGGATTCCTTCTTTAAGATTTCCCCATCTAAATGGCTGGTTTCCCCAGCAGATATTACAAATATGACTTTGTTTTTTCTTAGATTGGGTGTACTTAAAAAGACATTGTCCAGAGTCCACTGTAAGGCATGACCAATAAAAGCATCTCCATTTAGTTGTTTAACTGACTCATTCACGTGCCTCTTCATGAGGCGCTTACTACTGTAGGTGGTAAGATTGAACTCAGCTCTAACTGGACTCTTCCGAGTGTTGGGCAGAAAGTCACGAGGAGCATGGCTCAATAGGGCCACCCGGTCTCCGGTGATAGAAGTCTCTGGCTCTGGGGTGATTTCAAAGTAATCTAATAGTGTTCCCAGGAAGGCTCTGATGTCTTCAAATTCGGCACTTCCCATGTTCCGGGAGCCATCCAGAAGGAAAGCAGCATCTATGTAAGACTGCACAGGGGGTGGTCTGGCTTGGTCACAAGAAGCATCTGGCTTGCATACATCTGTGAACCGAAAGTCACTTTGGGTTACTAAGTAGAAATAGACAGAAAAGGGACGATAGCATCTCAAATATTTTGACATCTGGAAACTGGATAGTCTTTGATGTTAAAATAGTGACTAAATAATATCAGTAACAGGAAGAGTTCTTAGTACATGGTTTGCATCTGTCTCCCAAAAGTACAGCTTTTATACTCAGCCTGTGTCTTGGACTCCGTTTGCTAATGCTATCAGACTTTTAAAGATTAGGCTGTTTTCAAAGAAGTTTAATCTTGGCTGTGTCTCAAGCTTGTATCATTTGAAGTGGACAATTTATCTCATGCGTGCAAGGATATGCTGTATCACAACATAACAGTGACTGATCGCTCTAGGTCTTAAATATACAGGTTAGACCAATGGCTCTTATCGCTATGCTCAGATTGTTCTACTATGAAGAAGTGCTATAAAAGTAAAAGTGAAAAAAGCAATCTTTTATTTCAATTTAAGTAAGTTTATAACTCAGTGTCTATCTATGAGTGAGCCTTAAGGACAAAGCTCATCTTTGCATTTCCATAGTGCACATTAGTTGAAAACTCAATACATGTTTGTTAAATGAATATTGGATACTCACGGCCTTTCCTAAATGAGATCATTTTATAAATATGCATATCTCATTTAACAAAAGAATGCATAGTAATAAAAATAGAGGGGATTTTATTGAATATGACCACAAGAAATATTCAGAGGAATAAAAATATAGAAACGGAAGGATCTTAGAGGTCATTTAATCTTATAATTTTACAGAAGAAACTGTGGCCAGGAGAGTAAAATAATTCTGGCAAAGGACACACCAGTATTTCTAGAAGTTTCTATATACGAAGTCAATGTTTTACTGTTAGAGATGAGGCAGGTGGTATAGTAGTGGGGAGGCCCATTGGCCTGAGAGCTGGAATGCTGGGGTTCTGGTCTTGTTTCAATAACAAGCTGTGTGCCCCTAGCCAAGTTACCACTGGGCCTCAATTCAGCATAGTTCTGCAAACTTAGGTGGTAGGACCAGACTCACCTAGAGACCCTTTTTAGGACTGAAATTTTGTAATCCTAGTAACAGTTGATGGTTGAGTATAAAAATAGCCTCTTTAAAAACCAAAGATAAGAAAGAGAAATGGAGCAACATGAGTATGGACAGCTGGTACTAGATATATAGGAATGGGCCACAAATAAAAACTATTAGATGAAAGATTAATAACCAGAGTGCTGAACCTAGGAGATAATGTAACAAAATTCTCACTTAAGTCTTGTTCATGACTCAATAAAGATGTGACTTTGGATAAGTTATGGTTCCCTTACTGAAATTTACTAAAATTTTATGGCCCTGTAAAATGGTCAAATGATAGAACAGTCACCTGTGTGCAAAGCAGTTTCTAAAATCAGGGACAGCAGGCTGCCCATTTGCTCAGTTTTGTAGGATTTTTAATTGCAGGAAACAGCCAAAATATATTTTATTGCATGCCTAAGAGACAAAACAAGGGTTTAAGCCAAGAAATGAAGCCAAAATCTATCCCCAGTCTGACATGTGCAACTTCTGACTATGCAACGTACCAGCACACTGTTGTAACTGACATGTTTGAAAGAGCAACTGAGAATACATAGGGTGGAATCTATCTCCCACAGTATGTAAAGCACTTTAATTGCTTTGAGTGAGATTGCCAGTGCCTGAATCAATTCTGTGCAGTCAAGAGAAAGAGAGGGAAAGGGGAAATTTTATTAGAGGAGAGCAGAGGGGAAGACAGAAAGAAGAGGGATTGTTAGAAGACCGGAAACGCTACTTTTCCCTCAGGATTACTGCTTTCCTCATTTAGGTCATTTACATGGCAGGCATTTGCACGTCGCTGATACATGTGAAGAAAGGGAAAAATCAAGCATTTTCTACAGGCTCAAATGGAGAGGTCCGGGGAGCAGAAGAATGAGACATCTGTTTTTCATAAACTGCAGATGGTTTAGAGTCAGCCTTTTTGGGTTTGATATGGCTGTGGAGCCCTTAGCAAACTGTTCTTTCTCTCTAAGCTTTATTTTCCTCATCTGCAAAATGGAACTCATAGTAGTTCAAATGTTTTAGGGTGATTATAAAGACAGAATGACATAATTCCTTTAAAGTGATTAAAACAGTGCTTGGAACATAAGCACAATAGTTTAAGTATTAACTGTCATGATCACCATCATTGATATTACATGAATTAGAATAGTGCATGGCCTATAGAATGCTTTATATCCCTCAGGGATTACAGCCACCAACGATCCCAGTGGCTTCCACTGTCTTTGTAATTATTAGAACACTCAAATGGAAAGTAAGAGTCCAGTTTTCTAGTTAGACCTATACATTATGTATAAAACATTATGAATAAATCAACGCTGCAAATTTTTCTTATGCTTAATATTTGGGAGTCTATGAAGCCTCTTTTCAATGAGAAATGCATGCACTTCTGCTATTTTCCACTTTGTACTATCAAATTTCTCCAAGTAGGCAGGAGGGTGCTGAACTGCTTTCAAGCATTTCTTTGGGGCTGTGAACATTTTGAGATTTAGAAAACACATAAATACACTTTATAGCATAAAACTTGGCAATGAAATAGGCTAAGTTTTTCTAAGAATCATTACTGTTTCCTATAAGCTGCACTGTGTAGAAAGGCCTGGAATGCAACTCTTTTGCTGGGATCTATAGGAGGAGACGATGCTTGCTGAGTTGAGAGGACTCATCTGTGGAAGAAGAAGTATGACAGGGTGTGCCCAGAGCCCCAGAGACATCCTCCCAAGGCCGTGAGTATCCCCGCTGACAATTCCAGTTGCCCCTGCCAATGGTGACTCAACATGCTTAATAGGCCTGACCAAATTATTTTCTCTCTGTGGGTCTTACCATAGCAGAAAGTGCACCGCTGGAGTCTCTCTAATGCTGGTATGTAGTCGGTCCCTGAGGGAACCACTATTACTTGAAATGTGCCAGTCTCGTCAATCTACAAGAAGCAGAAGCAACAGAGAGAACAGCTTAGTGGGTAGGGCTGCAAGAAGCTCTTACGACTACAGAGAACTGACATCTGGAGAGTAACACTGCTCCTTCTAAGAAGGTACTGGGGAGGCACAGCAGGTAAGCATGGCTAAGAGCTCTGCTTGGATTTAAACCTTGACTCTCAATTTAGCTCCGTGACAAGTTATTTTGCATGTTTCTTCATCTGCAAAAAGAGAATAACTACCTCCTAACAGGACTACTGTGAGCATTAAATGAGTTCTTATTTGTAAAGCACTTACTGGCACAGAGCGGGTACAATACAGGTAATGACCATGAAACCTTTTCATATCTATGACTGTAGCAATACAGCAAGCTCTCCTGCTCATCATCCCCATTTTGCAGATGGGGAAACTGAATCTCAATGCAAGTTAAAAGGACTGATCACAAGACACTGAAGCCATTTAAGGAAGAGTATCAGAGGGCTCTTCTCCCCCTAAATCTCAGATACCCATGTAAAATCACAGGATGCCCTTTAGAAACTATCTTCAGATTTCTACTGTAAACTAGGCATTGAAGCTCTCTTTGAAATACACTCAGATCTACATCCACGCAGCTCTCTAAACAACTCCCAACCCTTTGCCAACTCGGCCCTGTTGTTAGTAACCCACTTGGGGAGTTTGAAAGTTGAGAACAGGGGAAGATAAGGAGGCTCCAAATAAGAATTATGAGCTTGGCTAATTGACCCAGAGATCACCGATAATTAAGGAAAAACTGTAGGCACGATCCTATCTAATGCCTAAGAGATGAGTCAGATGATATTTTAGCTTCCCCTGTGATTGTCTGCCAATTCCCCTCTTTCTTTGGGAACATCCCCTGCCACCATAATTAATCCACAGAGATAGAACGTTGGCAGTTGTTTATATGGAGTGACTGTCTCCAACCAGAGAAGACTGGACTAGATGTGGTGGTAATTAAATTTGGCCTGAGGACATCTCGTACTTTGAGTTCACTGGTAATCAACTGCAGGCTAACTTAGTAGATACTAACTGAAAACCTATCTTAGGAGTTTTTTTTTTTTTTTTTTTTTTTTTTTTTTTTTTAACAAATAGCCGAGTATTAGCCAATCATAGCAGCTGCGTTTCAGTTAGTCACAAGTGTGCAACTGATTGGACCATGTTCCAATGAGGCAAAGGCCAAGCTGTCATCCATCAAGCTGTTTCTGTACCTCACTTCCATTTTTGTTCGTAAACACTGCCTGCCGCATTGTGCAATGCAGCTCCGTGAACCTCTTCTGGTTTTGAGGGCTGCTTGATGGGATGGTAACGGCGGCCCGTCTGGAATGGCCACTGCCATGATGCTGCCTGCAGTCGAGGATGTGCGACCGGGGCTGTGCACCGCATGGAGCCCCGGGAGGTGGGAACAGGTGGAAGCCCCATGCCCTTCTGAGTTGGCAGGACAAGAGCCTTCTGCTCCTCGGGCGCAGCTGCAGCCACCCAGCTGTGGCTCCAGACCCAGGCATCCCTGGGCCCTTGGGCCCTGGTCACGGCTGTGGGCCCAGGCGTTTCTGCGCTTTTGAGGGTCCAGGAAACTCCCTGCCCCCACCACTCAGAAATGCCTGCTCCCACTATCTAGCTTCTCCTTGCTCCAGCACCTGCTCTGATCTTGGAGAAAAGCTGAGGCTGAGCCTGGGCACTGTTGCAACCCAGCCAGGCATGCACATGCTTGGGGCAGTGCTGACATGCCAGCCTTGCTGCCTCAGCCTCCTCCCAACTTTGGGTGCTAACAAGCACGGGAGGGAGCCCGAGGGGAGTGCTGAGGGCAGCTTGGTGCCGGCCTGCAGGTGCCCCTCAGTGCCAACAGCCTGGGCTCCAGTGGATGACAGGAGGAGGCAGACAGGCTCCTGCATGGAAAGGGGCAGGTCCTTGGTGAAATCCAACCTTCAAGCCAGGGATGGTGAAGCCTGGGGGCTGGGCTGACAGACCAAAATGGGAGGTTACAGTGCTTTTTCCTGCCTGCCCATAGCCTCCCATGAGCCAATCAGCACTTCCTCCCCTCTGAAAACCCATAAAAACCCTGGACTCAAGGATACTCAAGGATACCACCAGATGACCAGCTACAGAGAGGAGCTACCCACCCCAGGGGCTCCTCTCTGCTGACAGCTGAACACTCATCAGGACACCCTACTTACAGAGAGGACCTACCCACTGGGGGTCTCCTCCGAGCTGTTCTGTCACTCAGTAAAGCTGCTCTTCACCCTGCTCACCCTCCGCTTGTCTATGTACCTCATTCTTCCAAGATGCAGGACAAGAACTCAGCACCCACCAAATGATGGGGCTCAGAGTTGTAACACAAACAGAGCTGAAACATGCCCGTTACTCGCCCCGTTGGGGGTGACAACAAGGTGAGAAGAGAGGAGACGAGAGCTTTGGCCCTTTGGGGAGCCCAGACCTAGGAGCTCCCTGAGCCGGGGCTGGGACACCCTCTCTGGGGCTCTGCAGTTCCTGACATTTCCAAGCTTCCAGGTGCCACTGTGTCCCCCAGTGCCAGCTGTGGAAGCTGCCTGGGGTACATCTGGTCCAGCTGGCCACAGCCTCACAGGGAGCTGCCCACCCTGCCACCCCACCCTCGCCTGTTCCCACACCCTTCGCTGCTCCGCACCTGGCTTGTCCTTGGCGGGCGTGAGATTCAGGCTGGTGGCCTGAGCCAAGCACGACCCGCCAGGCTGAATGGGTGGAACAAGCCTTGGTAGTCCTGAGTAAAAACGTAGGCAAAGGCACCACGGGCCACAGAGGTTTCCAGCTGGCAAAGCAGCACCCCAGGGATCCCATGACAGATTTATGAATTGCTCTTAGTGCAAATAAACTCTACAAAATTTAACTTGCCTCAAGTTTTTAACACTTTGATATCACAAACGGGATCCAAAGTGGACCTCCAGTGACTCCCAGGAGCACCACGTGATCATGTAAAAATACCTGCCTCGTTCATTGTGCCCATTGATCTCTCAAGCAACTGGCTAGGATCACAGGTGGGTTCTCTTTGATTCAAGCTCCACAAACTTGTGTTCTGAGCTCTTCAAGTTTGAGTAAGTTTTATATTAGGCTGGGTCCAAGATCAGATTGGATTCTATAATTAATAGGATTGCATCCAACTAGAGGCCTCAGATGTCTGACTGGGTCAGGCAGAAGCTGGACTGGGTCCAGTAGGCTGGTAAGATTAAAGATGACAGAGAAGAGTGGATTCAAGGAGTCTCCCCTCTGAGAACCTATTCTCTTCTACAGAAGTGGATGAACCTTACCAAAAATAAGAGTTACAGTGGACATAGTGGGAAAGATTTAACCCAAACAGAACTTCTTATCTATGGGGCCCTTTGGAGGGTAAAAAGGGGATCCTGAATACCTCAGGAACAACGGGCTCTCTTACCCATTAGCAGCCATTATTCTGGAGGTCACAAGATACACAACTTCCCCAGCGACTCCTACAGATAACATCTCTACTGTAGAACCTAATATTGGCCTTTTGAAACGTCTTTTCAGGTTGTTTTGCATTTCTGATAATGAATGGCTCCACCTGAACCCACCAACCACTCCTCTGGCCCCATCCAGGAGCGACTCAGAGTATATGAGGACGATTTTCTACACCCCTATGACTGCACCTCCAAGCCATCAGCAGCACGCACCACTGCCTAACCACTCCCTTCTTCCCCAAAACCATCTTTGAAAAACCTTAGCCTTCAAATTTTCAGGGAGACTGATTTGAGTAATAATTAAACCCCGGTCTCCTGTTCAGCTGGCTCTGCATTAATTAAGCTCTTTCCCTATTGCAATTCCCCATCTTGCTAAATCAGCTCTATGTGGGCAGTAGGCAAAATGAACCTACTGGGCGGTTATACGAACACAGGGTAAAAGCAGAGGCTGCTCATCTGAACGCAGGACCAGAGGGCACCTGGGCTCCAGATACTTACAATGAACTCTACGTAGTCTATGTATATGGGTATACCTAAGCTAGCTAAAATTGGTTTTCGTGATCTGTAAAAGTAGTCTTAACTATACGCCAGGAGGAGTAGTTAGTCTGCATTATTAATAGCTATTAAGAGGCGTCTTCATGCAGTGTTTTAAGTGAATCATGCCTTTACTCCATCTGGATTGTGGTAAATGACTGAACACCAAACCCAATGTCAGTTCAGACAGCACAGCTCAGACTAGCTGGGAGGGGCCGAGAGCTTTCTTATTGCCAACTATCAGGATCCAGGAAAAAAAAAAATCACAGAACGTTTGATCTAGAAGAAATCTTAGGAGTCATCTCATCTAACCCCACCATTTTAAGGATAAGCCAAGTGAGTCCCAGAAGGGGTGGATTATGGAAGCCTCCAGTTTAAGATTTGCTTTCCCCAAACAAGACATGGCTGCACAGGTACTGCGTTTCATGCTGTACAGCTTAACTCCCAGATGGATCAAGATTTAGAAAAGCCATGGTAGGTAAGAAACCAACTAGAGTTTTTAAATGTACACCCACAGTAAAAATGCATTGTGTCATGACAGTTTCACGTTCTGTTCTTAAAAAATAGTGGACAACAGTTTAAATGCAGGTAAAGCACAATGGGAGAGAATGGATATAAGAAAGAAAAAGGTGGCAAACAGAACTAGTAATGTAACTGCTCTTCTGTAATGTCAGACATGGGGTTCTAACCGATTTTCATTTATGCCTCCGTTTTGCCCTTCCAGACAACCCTGCTCGCTTTCATCTTCCAATGTCAGGGTGGGCCCTTTGGTTTTCCAGTTTGCTCCTGTATCCCTCAGAGCCTAGGACAGTACCTGGTATATAAAATGAGATGCTCACTAAACATCTGTTGAATGAAACTTGGGAGCAATTCTGACTTCAAATCTAACTCCCTAGCAAGTCTGAGTTCCTGAGCTTGTTATAAAGCAATGTGGTCCTTGCTGTGTTTATTATCTCTGAATCTGACTTGCTGGCATCTGAATGAGAAGAGGCACCTCTCCAGGAAAAACATATCACTGGGGTTTCCTTTTATCAACCTTTATCCCAGCATTAGGCATCCCACGCATTATTAAACCTTTTCTTTCTATACCTGTTGCAAAGAACTGCTCTTTGTTGAGCTCTTCTTCATTCAACGTTAGTTTAATATCTGATACATGGCAGGGACCAATAACCGTGAAGACCAGCAGATACTGTTCCTATCTTTACACATCAGAAATGAGGAGAAATTAACACTAATCAGATAATCACACATAAGTTGGAATGTTGGGGGCCAATGCTACTTACATTTATGGGGGTCATTATCAAGAACTTTAAACCTTAATTTGTGCTCTTTTGGGATGAAAAGGAGTAAAGAATTTCTAAATGATTTGGGCAGAATCAAGAAACTAGATTCATCAAATTCTAGGTGAGACTGTGAACATTCAAGTTTAAAACACCAAGCACGTTTTCACAAGTTATATGCTGTGCACGCACCCTTGAGTGGAACAGTGTCAGCTTAAGTTTGTAACACAGTTTGCATCAGGAGATAAAGTCGTCTTCTTTCATGACTAAATAAAACCCAAGGGATGAGGGAATTACAAGGACTCTAGGTAACCAAAATCACTTACAGAATGGTTTAGCTTCTGCTGCTTCTCAGAGCAGCTACATTTGCATAGCCTGGCCCCACTCTTTTCTACTTTACGTGTATTTCCTTATCTGAACCTGACCCATCAGCCTTTTGTTTGCATAATGAGAGTTGGTACAATGATGTTATAAATAATAGCAGTTTCAGCTCCTTTACAACCTAAATTTTACTATTAAACAAATTTTAGTTCAAGATCAAGCAATTGAATGCTAATAATTAAAGCAAAAGCTATCATTCTTGAGTGTTTACTATGTACTAGGCACTAATGCACAGTGCTGCATCAATTAATCTTCACACCAACTCTAGGAACTGGATACTTACTGCTTTCCATATTTTACAAATGAGAAATGTATTTCAACTCTGTTATGCTTATTTCAACTTTCACAGAAAATTACAGAGCAGTGGAAATGGCCTCAAAAGGCCACTTTTAGCCTCTAGTCTCGGAAAAATAGAAGTCACCCTCCACAGTGAGTGACCGCCCCTATAAAAGTCCTGCAGAAAAAGGTAACATCTTGACTACCTGCATTAGGCCATTTAATCCATGCCCAGTAAACCAACACTGCCTTTCAAAAGTTCTTTTTCAAAACCTAAAGTTTCCTACTGCTGTCACACTTAGTTTCTCTAACAAGAGATTTTGCAAAGTTGGGAGTTCAGCTGGCTAATTTTCTCCAGTAATACTTTTTCAGATGCTTGAAGGCAATGATTCAGTTGTTTCTTTCTTTTTTTTGAGACGGAGTTTCGCTCTTGTTACCCAGGCTGGAGTGCAATGGCGCGATCTCGGCTCACCGCAACCTCCGCCTCCTGGGTTCAGGCAATTCTCCTGCCTCAACCTCCTGAGTAGCTGAGATTACAGGCACGCGCCACCACGCCCAGCTAATTTTTTGTATTTTAAGTAGAGACGGGGTTTCACCGTGTTGACCAGGATGGTCTCGATCTCCTGACCTCGTGATCCACCCGCCTCAGCCTCCCAAAGTGCTGGGATTACAGGCTTGAGCCACCGCGCCCGGCTTTCAGTTGTTTCTTTTAAACAAAGTAATTTTTAAATGGCTGGACTTCTTATTTAAGTTAAAATTTCCAGTGCCTCTTTGCTGCTTGCTCCGTGGGCCCCTCTTCCCTTCTCCAGAACAGAAAGAAACCGTATGGGACCAAAAGGCCGACCGGAAGGACCCTTTGCTGGGCCCAGGAGGTCCGCAGTGATGAAGCCCTGCCGCTAAGCTACTACCAACGGGAGGCTTTAAAGTTATCCTCAGTTGTCTTAATCCCAGGTGATTCATTTAGGAATGGAACACATTGAGATTTTAATCCCCGATCTAAAAAGCTGTAACTGGAATGGCTTTTCCTTTATAAATTTTGGGTCATTACATAATTAGCAAAGTGATAAAATCAGCCAATTGGCTTTGCTCACACAGCAACAATTACTACCCTGGCTATTTAAGTGACATATATGTTTACCAGCCTTCTGATTCAGTATCTTTAGATTCAGAGGCAACTCAAAGAGTAGCTTGGGGGAGCACTAGAGCAGCAAGCTTGGACTCAAGTTCTGACATGGCCATTGCTTTGCTGTGGGAACCAGGAAAAGTAGCTTAACTTCTCCACGCTCACTGTTCTCGTCATCTACTTCAGAATACTGCCTGTGAACATGAAACAGGTTCATGCATAGACCTTATGCTGTTTAATAGAAAGAGCTTAACACGTTCCTGGTACACAGTAAGGAATACTTGTTCTACTGTGCCAATCCAGAATTTTTTAAACTTCCTAACAAATGGCCCTGATCTTGAATGCAAGGTAGTTCTATACTTTCTAATAGAGGCTTCTCAACACAGTCAAGATAACTAAGAATGGTCACGTGGAAGGTTTCACCCTCTTACCGCGAATGAACGCCTGACCGAGGGCACGTTGCTGAAAGTGATCACGATGGGAATGATGTCAAGCGCGCTGAACTCCATGGTGGCCGTGGTGATGGACTGGGCATCCGCAGACTGACCACTGCTGAAAAATGTGGCGATTCTTCTCGTGTGCGCCCCCGGAAGCGTCCGCTTGAAGACATTCCTGGAAATAAACCTCATTGCTCTGCCGATCTCCCGGCTGGCAGAGGATCTCTCATAAGGAATAGCTTCAATTTCCCTGAGAAGTTGATTCTTCTTGTAGACGTCTGAGAAGCGCACGAGGTGCCTGGCGTGGGAGTTATAGGAGAGGATGGCAATGCGCGCTCCCACGGGGCAGCTGTTCTCCCGGACTTTGATGTCCCTCACCAGGAAAGCCATCATCTCCTTCATCCGCTCAAATTCCTGTTCAGTGACATCCCGGGATTGGTCCAAGGCAAACACCAACTCGGTTGGGTGTACTGGGCATTCGGGTTTTCCTAAAAGAACATATCGCTTATCACATAGCATCCTTATTATTTTTTTTAAAAGATACATAGAAGACAAAGTAATTTTCAATGTTAACTATTTAATACTTAAAGAGAGTAAATAATTTAAGTCCTAACACAAACGTAAAATATTATATATTTAAATCTTGAATAATTATAGATGTCATTCCAAAAGCTGAGTTTGCTCTTTTGAATTAAACACAAAAACATCTGGAATTCAGGTTTCTGTTTTGTTTCCTTTTTAACCTTTTCTTTTTATTCAGTTCACAGCCAAGTGGAATTCAGTTTCATTTTGTACGAAATGTTAAAGTTGACAATCAAACTCCTTCTAAACAATAGAGAGCTCCTGGAAATAGCCTTCACCTACAGACACTGGATCAAAGGTATCAAGTGTTGTTGCTGGAACTCTACTCAGTGAAACTAAAACACATTTCTTTTTTTTACTTAATAAGGAAATGTAGTAAGAGTTAAAAAGTAATGGCTGTGAAAGCTCCACTTATAATTTTAGAAAAAATGGAAGAAAACTGACAGTTTACAGAGCAAAGCATGAGATACAAAGAGAGTAGGCAATACAGGGTACAGTCTGGATCCCTGGCCCAGGCATTAACCAGCCATGGGACCCTGTCCAAATTACTTATCCAGTCTGCATCTAAGTTTCCTCATCTGCAAAATGTGAGTCATAACATCACCTGCTACATAGGCCTGGGGTGAATCAGCTCAGGAAAATACTTAGAACAACAGAACCTGGCACATACTAGGTGCTCAATAAACGTCAACCACTGCGGTTAGAATGATCATTCCAGACTTTTTCATTGTGAGAACTATATCACTAAAAGAATGAGGAAAGCTTTAATAGATACATTTTTGTTTAACAGTTACAAATCCAAGTTTACTGAATAAATATGCCTTATTACTGAGAGAAACTGATTATGGTTGGTCAGCTCTACTGTGAGCGTTAATTGCATATTTATGCATCTGTACTCATTGGTTCTGATTCATTCAAATCTCAGTATCTTGCACTTGTAGTTGGCAACTCATATTTGATTATCTGATTAAGGTTCATTTTTCCTAGTTTATGATGTACAGTATCTGCTGATCTTCTAAGTCAGGCGTCCCCAAACTACGGCACCTGCGGGCCGCATGAGGCCCCCTGAGGCCATTTATCTGGCTCCCTGCCGCACTTCAGGAAGGGGCACCTCTTTCATTGGTGGTCAGTGAGAGGAGCACAGTATGTGGCAGCCCTCCAATGGTCTGAGGGACAGTGAACTGGCTCCCTGTGTAAAAAGTTTGGGGGAGCCTGTTCTAAGTGATTAGTCCCTGCCGTATATCAGATATCTAACGAATGTTGAATGAATGAAAAAGAGCTCAACAAAGAGCAATTCTTTGCGACAGGTATAAAAATAATCAAAGTTTAATAATGTGTAAGATGCCTAGTGCTGGAATTTGGTTAGTAAAAGGACACCCCAGTGATGTATTTCTCTTGGAGAGGTGCCTCCTCTCGTTCAGATGCCAGCAAGTTGGATTCAGAGAGAATAAACACAGCAAAGACCATATTGCTTTACAACAGGCTCAGGAACTGACTTGCTGGGGCTCATGTAGGCCGTCAAGGAGACATCCCTGTGCCATGGGCCAGCTGGGCCTTGCCCACCTTAGCGCTAAACTACTCAAGTTTTTGGGGAAAAAAATTCAAGTTTTTAGGGGGAAAAAAAAAAGCCTAAGGACGAATTCATCTTACAAAACACAAGCTGCAAAACCCAGCAAGCTGCCAGGATTCCCAAAGATTCTGAAGAAGCCTAGGCTGGATTGCAGTGGTACCTAAGAGGGCCTCCTGGAGAAGGAAGGGATTGCCACGTGTGGATCCCCAACTAACATGGCTCTGGGATCACACACTATGTACTGAGGACTGCTCCTTGCCACAGAACACGTGATAGAAAGGACAGGGAGGCAAGGATCAGCCAAAACCACTACCATGTAACCTAAACACAACACTGACGGCCCTTGTCCAGGTCACCATCATATTTGCCTGGAATACTAACACCCTCCCTAAACTAGGCCTTTGCCTTTTACATTTACCACCCTCCACCCTTGCCACAATCCACTCTCCCCATAGCAGCCCAAGTAGTATTTAAAAATCAGATCATGCTCCTCCCCTACATACTTTCAACAAACTCTTCAATACCCTCCCCATCACAATTCAAATAAAATCCAGCCCCCTTATAATGTGCAAAGCTCAGCTTGCTCTGGCCTCTGCCTATCCCCCATTTTTTTATGTGCCACTCTCTGTCCCTATGTCTCAATCTTGTTGTGCTCCATCAGTTCCTAGGAAATGCCTAGGTGTGTTCTGTTTCATGGCCTTTGCACTGAAAGTTCCCGATGTCTAGCTCTTGAAAGATGGCTTCTTTCTTTTTGTTTGTTTGTTTGTTTGTTTTTGAGATAGAGTCTCACACTGTTGCCTGGGCTGGAGTGCAATGGCATCTGGGCTCACTGCAACCTCCGCCACCCAGGTTGCAGAATCACCCAAGTGATTCTCCTGCCTCAGCCTCCCAAATCGCTGGGATTACAGGTGCCTACCACCACACCTAGCTAATTTTTTGTATTTTTAGTAGAGATGGGGTTTCACTATGTTGGCCAGGATGGCCTCGATCTCCTCACCTCATGATTCGTCAGCTTCAGCCTCCCAAAGTGCTGAGATTACAGGCGTGAGCCACTGCGCCCTGCCAAAAGATGGCTCCTTTGTATTCCTCAGTCTAAACTTTAATTTCACTGCCCCCACAAGAGTCCTCTGTCCAAAAACATCTCCCCCTTACATTACCCCAGGACACAGCATCCTACACTTTATCTTTTTCAAACAGCACCTAATGGGCTGTGCTTTCATGTTTGTGTTTGTGAGGCGAATCCTCCATAAGAATCGCAGTTTCTGAGGATAGCAACCACATTCATTATTCAACTCTGTAACCCTAATGCCTTCTACAGATACTGGCACTTGGTAGGTTTCCAACAAATATTCTTAAATGCATGGATAAGCCATCAGAGGACATGAATTGGTGGTCTTATACAAAAAGTAAAAGTATATAAATGTATAAGAGGGTGATGATAAATTTACACAAAAACATCAGGTAAGAAGCATTTGTAAAATACCTTTCGATTCGCACTGAAAATATGAAGCTCACCTGATAATTAACATCATGCATGAGCTCCATGGATTTTAGTGTTATCTGAGTCGCACATTCCACTTACTTGCTATCTGATCATCCCTACTTTTATTCGGACTTCTGCATCTTAATCCCTAACCACTGGATGACAGAGATGATACAACAGAGTGAGAAAACAAAGGGAGTAAGTAAAATACTATTTTTGGCCAGGTGCAGTCGCTCACACCTGTAATCCCAGCACTTTGAGAGGCTGAAGCACGTGGATCACTTGAGCCCAGGAGTTCAAGACCAGCTTGGGCAATAGGGCAAAACCCTGCCTCTACAAAACATACAAAAACTAGTCAAGCATGATTGCATGTGCCTGTAGTCCCAGCTACTCTGGAAGTTGAAGGATCACTTGAGCCCAGAAGGTCAAGGCTGCAATGAACAGTGATCAGCCTGTGAGACACAGCAAGACCCGGTCTTAAAAAAAACCCAACATATTTTTAAAACCTAAACGCAAAATAAATGGTGATGTTAGTCACTACGATATTAATATCTTAACAATTTTTATTAATATTAATAAAAAGCAAATCGCTTTGTTGAGAAATAGCTGTGAAGCTCAGCTAAAACTGTGTGATTTATTGGCGGCAAGACTCTGCTACCAGCATGAGTCAGCAGCAAAGAAAGCCCAGATAAAATTTCTATCAGTTGGAAGCCAATATACTGCTTTAGCTCATCTTTCCAGATGTATGACATTTTAGAGCCTGATTAAAGCATGTTGTAAATAAAGATTACTCACCGTGTCCGCCAGCTGAGAAAGAAGAACAAAGGAGATTGGATTATTATTTGGTAGGAGAACCGAGTTCTGTATTGTGCAGAAAAGAAAGGTTCTATCCTGTCTGCTTTTTGTCAATGACTCAAAAATCGAGGCAACAGACAGAGTTTGGAGAAAATGCAGGCAGAGTCTAACATCTTGGTAAAGCACTATTCCTTCCAAAGGAAAGAGGGTGTGGGAAATGAGACAACATACAGCCATAAATCAGCCGCCTGCAGCCGGCTGTCAAAGACAAAGAATCTTTGCCTGGGAGGGAACATGATGTTACAGGGAGGTACGCTGAATTTGGAAAGTCCAAAGCTCCACCATGTCTTTACATTTTCCTCATGCAGGTATCTATAACTATCATTTATACACATACACACATAAACAAATGTGTCTGTATCTATGTATAATATATATGTATATACAATATGTATATTATATGCATATCTATGTGTTACATAAGTATCAGAGGTGGATTTACTCTGAATTAAATGAACACTTGCTGTAGAACTATACTGTTCAATATGGCTACAAGCTACATGCAGCTATTAAACTAATGAAAATTAAATAAAAATTCAGCTTCTCAGTCACACTAGCCACATTTGAAACGCTCAAAGCCACATGGGTCTTGTGGCTACTGTATTGGACATTACAGGGGCACACTTCCATCACTGCAGAAACTTCTATTGGACAACACTGCTTCAGACTTCTTTCTTGCAGGGGCGCCTTGCAAGGCCTCTCCTGGGACGAACCCTAGCCATGATGTTTACACAATCACATACTCTTATAAAATATGCAAAAGTTAATGGTTGTGATTTATTTTTTTTATTCTAAATAACTCTTGCTTTTGAAATACCTTTGTACCCACTTTTCGCTTTGTGATTTTGTATTGAGTTCTTTAGATTTTAGAAAACCAGGTCTCAACATACTTGGATCTGCCCTTGAGATTATAATTCACATGGTCTCTATGTCATAAAACCTACCGTGCTAACTGAGCCCCAAAACAACTCATCTTCATGACTCAATATATATATATGTGTGTTTTGATTCCCATCATGGTTCCATTCTGCTACAAGAAGACAGAGTTCCAATAGACATTGCATTCAAAGATTTTAAATGTCTGTCTTTGAAACCAATGTTCTCTATAGAAACAGGCTCTAATTTATTGTTCTTCCTCCAAAATGTCTGGAGGGAACTTTCGGTTCCTCCTTTCCGTCACACTGTTATCTGGAAAGTCATTATGCATTGTAGATGCACATTAAAGCATCAACTCCCTCCTTATCTTGCACATGAAATTTTTTTGATGGTATCAACATATTTTGATAGAAGAGGCTGTTATAAGGGTTTAAAACAAATTCAAATGAGCATTTGCCAAATCAAAATGTCTTTTTGATTTTAAAATTTTGAGAAAGATAAAAAAAATTTGGCAGAGTATGTTTTTTTTTGTTTTTTTGAGACAGAGTCCCGCTCTGTCACCAGGCTGGAGTGCAGTGGCGCAATCTCGGCTCACTGCCACCTCCACCTCCCAGGTTCAAGTGATTCTCCTGCCTCAGCCTCCCAAGTACCTGGGACTACAGGCACATGACACCATGCCCAGATAATTTTTGTATATTTTTAGTAGAGACAGGTTTTCACCATTTGGCCAGGATGGTCTTGATCTGTTGATCTTGTGATCTGCCTGCTTCGACCTCCCAAAGTGCTGGGGTTACAGGCGGGAGCCATCACACCTGGCCCATATTACTATGAATTTTTAAAGCAACTCAATCAGTCTAACTAAAAATAATCAAACATACATTTCCAGGAAATGAGTAACAAACAATAAACCAAAATCAGGACTCCCACTCACCAGGACACTCTATTATCACAGCTGCTTCTTTCATACCAGGTGAATTTGATTCTATCAGTTACTGTGAGGCGTTATTAATCATCTTTTTAAAGGTTCCAAGTGATTCTTGATGGATTGATTTTACCATTAGGTGAATTCAGACATCAAATCTCAATTTTCTTTAGATTAAAAGCACTCAATAGATTATTTCTTACTGCTTGACATAGGTTTCAATAGACATAATAGCAGACAGAGAGGGAGTTAAAAGTCACCAGTCTATGTGGACTCAAAAATACATGCAGTGACATCTCTAATTTTAAGAAATCGGCCGGTGAATTGTCTCAATTCTGAGTGTAGCGTTCTCTGCTTTTCTTCTATGAATGCCAACAACTTGGGAGATCATTTTAGGCAGGGTACTTACGACTGTGGTCCCGCACATACTGAATGAGCTCACATGTCTGCAGTTCAAAAATAAAACAGTGAGAATTAACCAACAAACTACTAGGCCCTGAAGTTGAAAAATAAGTAAATTTAATGGAGCACTCAGAGCACTCTGTTGTAATCGGGAGATACGTACAGAAAATGAAGCCAAGCCTTTGGCTCCTTTCACACCCTAGGAAAACAAACAAAACGTTGTATTAATGACTCTAGACATACACATCAGTAGCCTGTGTGCAGCAACATCGGCCTCAGAAAGTGATAACTTTTAAAAGTTTTATTCTCATTCAATTGTAAGAGGGGAAAAACGAATGCAGGTAGATGCTCATTACCTAATTAACGGTAACACTGGAAAAACAAATGATAAGCAGCAAGCTCGGTGCACACAAGCCTTGAGAGGCCACTTTCCTCTGGGTCCATCTCCGGATGGCAAGCGTTGTCCAGAATTACAGGGATGGAGCTGACAGCCTGACACTTGCCGCAGAGCACTGGAGCAGGCCTATGCCTCAGGACTAGCTGAAGCTGAGCCACGTGCATGCAGCTGCCCGCTTTCACAGCAGGGGTTTGAAGGTCTTCGACTCCCATTCCTTGCCTGAGCCACTGAACAGCAGACAGAGCTGAACCTTAATCTGTTCCCATCATTGTTTAGCTGATAAAAGGATCAGACTCAAACTGACCATCCGGAAAGGTGATCTCAACTACCTTCTCAAAACAATATATATATACACCCCCGCCCTCCCCCCCCACCACACACAGACACATCTATACATCTGTCAGAGTTTGGGATAGAAAGAACAAATGAAACTGGTTTTAATTTCATCTTTTCAATCCCATCTTCAGAAGAGGAAGAGTCTGGCTCCTCTCAAAGAGAGACACCCAAGAAAACAATGCAACAGAGCCCCACCCCAACTCCTGAAGCAAGTAAGTTCCATGTGAATGCAACATTGATCACAGTCACTATTAATTTCCTTTCACTTCCATTCATTCAGTGATCACTTATTACATGTAGAAAGATTGGACAGATACAGAATACAATAATTGAGAAATACCAGTTGAGTCTAGATACTTTTGATTTCCTCCTTCAATTTCCCCTCTCTCTCGAGAGATGTGCTTAATCACTATTTTTTCTTCTCTACATACTTAATCAGTACTTTCTTCCCCATAAAGGTGGGAAAATAGTGGCCAAGCAGCAGAGACAGAAGACATGCACATTTGTACAATGAAGATTTCATGCACTGACTTTTTTGAGTAGAAAAGGACCTGGTGTGGTTTACAGCTTTTCTATTTACCTTACGTCCAGGGTGTCCCGGTTCCCCAGCGGATCCCATCTCTCCTGGAAGCCCAGCAGATATCTCAAAGCAGAATTTACTTATTTTAAAATTATATTTATACATGGATGTATGTGTGTATGTAAATTCAAATTAAAAAATTAAAATTCAAAGGTGAAAATTCTGAAGTGAAAATTTCACTTTTATTTTAGAAAATTGAGAGTTTTCTCTCAAAAAAACACAAAGAAGGAAAAAATACTCCCAGCAGTTCCCTTCTTCCCAAAATAATCCTCATTAACATTTTGATGTCTTGTCTTATTCTTTTTGTATTAAGACATAGATTCCTTTTTAAAATTCATTTGAATCATACTTTTCTCTGTTACCTTTTAAACTAAATATATCTCTGGACATTTTCACTTACTATTATTTTTGCAAAATCATTTTTCATAGCTGCATCGTATCCCATCACATGGTTGTACTTAGTCCCTACTGTTTGTTGTTTTAATAGGGAATGCCATTATAAATGTATACGCATGATCCTGATTATTTCCTTAGGGAAGATTGCTAGGACTAGAATTGTTGGTCAAAGGAAAACTTTTTATCTAAATGAAATGGTAGGTAACTGAATAAAACAAACAAAAAGCAAAAAGTCTAGAAAAACAAAACTGAAATATAAAACTTTTAAAACAACAGAAACACAATCATTAATAGGCAATATTGAAATGGGGAATAATAGCAATAAAAATAACAGTTATCTGCTTACTAGCTATCAGAAATATTTTCATGTACATTCAACAATAAGTTTATCATAAAGCTAGGATTTAGTTTAAAAATTGGAATATTATTTCTTTTTCTTCATTCAAAATGCCACAGAATTTACAACTTTTACAGGACTAAAAAATGAAGTTTAAAATCAACTTAATTAGTAAAAGCATTACCTATAAAACGGTAAATAATGATTGATATCCTTTGGGCATTCCAATGATATTGACAGTGTGCTGGGTTGAGTGAAAAGTAAAATAATTTTATTTAGAAGATAAAGGTTAACCTCCAGGAAAAGAGACCAGATTGAGTACATGCTTTTACCTTTGTTCCATTCCAATATCTTATTAAGATGACAGTAAGTAGATTCTTTTAAAGGCAAAAAACAACAATGTTGGGAGAATAAGAAAGGAGATGACGGTCATAAAATTTGAGTCTGGAAAGCAAATGTGAAGTGACTTAACAGACCTGAGAAAGTTGAATCCTAAGCCAGCAGAAGATAAAGCCAAGAACCAATGTGTTTTATATCATCTGTCCCAGAAGGCTGAGGATTTGGCAGCACCAGGAACCTCCAGAAGTGGAGGTGAGGGAAAGAGGTGAAGTAAAGATGTAGCTGAAAATCATTTTACGAATCCCCAAATCGCCTCTCTATTCTCAATGGCTGAACGTCCCTTTTCCCACCCTAGCAACAAACAGAGGTAAAACCGAGGTGAAACTCCAGGCTGAGCTGAAAAACCACAGTACCTGAAACAGGGAGAGTAAATCAAAGTATGTACAGCAAATGTCAGAGTCTCCAGCTTTCTTTTTCTGTATGGCTCCTAGAAAGCTGGCAGCCAGACCTTCACTCTCCAGGTAGGAGATTGTAAGATATTTTTTCAGGAGAACTTCATTAGACAAAGAAGAAAGACCTACTGATTTCAGAGGTTTGCTAAATAAAGAAAGTAGCTAGATCTCTCACTCAGAGAAACTGGTAGTTGACAAGCCCCACTCATGTTCTCAGAGCTTCCAATCAGTCTCTTTTTTTTTTTTTTTTTTTTTTTTGAGACAAGGTCTCAGGCTCACCCAGCCTTGAATGCAGTGGTGCAATCTGAGCTCAGTGCAGCCAAGACTTCCTGGGCTCAGGCGATCCTCCCACCTCAGCCTCCCTGGTAGCTGGGGCTACAGGTACATGCCACCATGTCTGGCTAATTTTTGTATTTTTTGTAGAGACCAGGTTTCACTAAGTTGCCCAGGCTGGTCTCAAACGGCTGGGCTGAAGCAGTCTGCCTGTTAAGGCTCCCAGAGGGCTGGAATGTCAGGCATGAGCCACCATGCCTGACCCCAATCAATCTTTTTGTCTTCAATTCTTAAATATGAATACCTCATTCCTTAAACATCTGAGTAATAGATATCAAAACAGAAAGGAAAATAAAATGTAGAAAATAGGCTATGCTGGTCAAAAAAGAAAAATATTTATATTCTCAGAAAGGTAAAAGAAGATATTTTAATCATGAAACAAAAACAGTATGCTATAAAAAAGGAACATTCAGAAAACAAAAACAAGCTCTTGAAAATTCAAGTATGAGAGAAACACTGTAAGATAAACTCAAGGAACTCTCCCAGAAAGTAAAGCAAAAAGACAAAAAGCTGGAGGATAGAACAGAAAAAATAAGAACATTAAAGGACCAAATAGTAGGTATTTAATAAACAGGGACTAGAGAATATAGAGGGCAAGAAATCATCAAAATAATTGACCAACACTTCTTTGAAGGACACATATTTCAGGCTCCTAACGCCTATGAAGAACCTACCTGATGCTCAGGAAAATGGATACAAATGGACATCAACTCATAAAACCCAGGAAATATCAAAACACTGCAGACAGAGAAATTATGCAATAAGGTGCCAGAGAGAGAACACTGGCCACATCAGGAATCGGAATGGCTTTGGACTCTCCCAAGCAACAAAGGAAGCTAGAAATAATGGAGGAATGACTGCCTTCAAAATTCCGAGAAATTAATTCCAACCCAGAACTATACTAGCAAAATATGCAATCACGTCTGAAGGTAGTACAAAGCCCTCTCAGATGTTGGCTGTATCAAAAAATATACCTTTCATTCACCCCTTCTTAGCAGGCTACTGGATGAGTTTTTCATGAAACAAGGAAGAATCCCCACAGGAGGAGTCCGAGAATAAGAACGAGAAGCAGAGATCCGATGAGGAGAGAGGCAAAGAGAAAGGAGAAGGTGAAGGATGACTGCAGTATGGTGGCTGGGCACCAGGCACAGAGGAACCCCAAGCAGGCCGGTCAGGTTGGAAGGCTCTGGGTCGGGATTAAGGTGCAGAGAATACCTGCCTCATCTGAATGTTTTCAGACAGAATTTAGATAAAGGGAAAATTAAGAAAGGTACATCAGCAACTTTTACAGCAGGAAGAAATCAGTTCATAATGCTTAAAATTTATGAAATAAAAAATAAGAACATAAATATGATATTTAGAGGCATATTGTCAATTCTGAGACAAATAAATTCAGAAGTGAAAGCTGTTGTTTGTGAGGAGAAGGAAATGGGTGTGAGTGAGGGGTGAAGCAATTTTTTTTTTTTTAACATAAAAAACTTTGTTATTTGACTCTTTAAACCAGTGGTTCTTAGCAAGAGAAAATTTTGCCTCCCTTTGTTCCCTGGGACGTATGGCAATGTCTGAAGACATTTGTGATTGTCATAACTGGGGGCGGAGGGAGGAGGGCAGGGGGCAGTTGGTGCTGGAATCCAGTGGGTAGGTACCAAGGCACAGCACAACCCCTCAACAAAGCCTCATCCAGCCCAGAATGTCAATAGTGTTGACATGGAGAAACCATGCTTTAAACTATGTGCATATTTGTATAGGTGGTAAAAAAGAATGCATACAAATATGCATGTATACACAAAACAGATTAAAAATCATGACAAAATTTTAAAAAATGTTTCCTAAGAAAAATCAAGGTGAAGATGTAGAGAATTTAAAGGAGTACAGCCATTCAAAGAGAACTGAAGAGGCATTCAGAATTTAAGCTGAAGTTTTACCAAAATCTTCCAATAGGAACTTCAGCTCTTTCAGAGGGAAAATCTGGATTTTTCAATGACTCAGCTTCAAATCCAAAAACACTCATGTAAAGGTGGAAAAAGTAGCTTGATAGGTGAAAAGAGGAAGTTACAAAAAGTGATACTTGCCCAAAATGGAGAACAACAAAAAATCAAGTATTTTCAAAGGCCAACAGAAAAAGTTTCTATGTTTCCCATTAGTGTATTGTCTTTTAAAATGATTAATGTGCCTTTGTGGGGAAGGATCCAACCATGAACTTGTTAGCGTGCTTCTGATGTTCAAGGTTAAACTGCATTAATAAGCCAAGGGAAATAAATGATCTGGAGACACTTCAGTGCAGATGACATCTGGATTAATTTGAAAGTCTTTTCCAATTATTTTTCTAATTATGTCAGTCTTCATCGTTTTTTATAGAACATCATGTTAATAAATAGCCATCCAAAAACAAGCATAAGGAAAAGAATTATAGCTGAGAAGCAGTCTTTATAGGAGGAGGAGAAGCAAGAGGAGGGGGAGGAGAGAAAAAAAGAGGAGTTTCCTTATTTTGAACCCCTAAAACCCACATAAGCAATGTCTAAACATAAAGAAATTACAGTTTGCAGAAACAAAATTAGATCAGAGCCAAATTAGCTATGAAGACAAAACTGGAAAACCACTTCAAATGTACATTTTTATCAGGCTTTTAAAATGCTTGCTAATTGACATGATAAACTAAGACCAGTTTGCCTGATCAGTGCTGTTCTGAAGAAAAAAGATGATGTCTGTATCAAGAGACAATTATCTTAAGATTCTGTTTTAGAAAACAAAAATAGCATTTTCACTTATACACAGTCTAAGATACATAGAGTCAGCAAATGCAAGGAAACCATTCTTAACCCAGGGGAACCCAAGGCAAGCCTACGGGATGAACTGTATTGAAGACCTATATTTATTCTAAGTGATTCAAACCACTAGGTGATAATATCTAAGCCCCTCCACAGAATAAAGACATACTCAGTTACAGAGTAAACAAACTTTCTCCCAAAGCTCAAGAGATAACATCCTTGGGCTAAATGAGAAGAGGACCTTTCTGCATATATCGCATTAAAAGTAGATTAACGAAACCCGAAAAGTGAACACAAGATGTCAGTGGGCGTTAGGCTGCACTAAACCTGCCAGGGAGACAGGATTAAACTAACTGCATTTTGGCAGTGTAAACACTGTTTTGAATCACAGGGATTTCTTTTACAAAATCTTATTACCAGTGTTAAGTATGGTACCTGGCAGCTAGAACATGTGAACTTGAATACTAAAAGCCAACAGTTCATTGTTTCTACACTGGCACTGAGAGATGAATAATCTATCCATTCCCCTTCCCCAAGTTTGCCTTAACAGAAAAGACATGCAAGTCACTGGTAACAAAAGACAACTCAAATTGTCAATGTATGAAGGAGGACTTCCTAATGCAGTGAGGTTGTCAGCAATTGGAATCTAAGAAGCTTACCGTTGTGCCTCTAGTTCCCTTCGGCCCCGTCTCTCCTGGACCACCAGGGTCCCCAGTCTCACCCTAAATACACGAATTAATGTAAAATAGTTATTAAAATCAAACATATATATTTAACGTATTTGCATCTTTAAACTGATTCCATGAAGACATTTTTGCTATACATTTTTAACAGTCTTCTTGGAAGAGTGTGAGGGTATGTGTGTTTCCATTGATGTAACTCTCTACATAGCACACTGCATCAGCATTGTTTCACTTTGTTGTCTCTCCAGTGACAACACTAGCCACTGGCTCTTTGGAGAAGTGTACTTTGTTCGCTTATTTTATCCTCTGACTCTATCAGAGAACCTGGCGTTTACTGAGTTCAGTAAGGGTTTCTAAAAAAAAGCGGTATGTCCAAATCTCCAAGGTAGAAGATGTCATTGCTAACTAGTTATTTGAAGATGATTTATAAACATATTGGGAAAATTGAGCCACGTGAAATCATACCATTTTGGATTTTTACATTATATATATATATATATATATATATATATATTTTTTTTTTGAGGTGGAGTCTCGCTCTGTCACCCAAGCTAGAGTGCAATGGAGCAATCTCAGCTTACTACAACCTCCGTCTCCTGGGTTCAACTGATCCTCCCACATTCAAGTGATCCTCCCACCTCAGGCTCCTGAGTAGCTGGGACTACAGGCGTGCACCACCACTCCTAGCTCATTTTTGTATTTTCAGTAGAGATGGGGTTTTGCCATGTTGACCAGGCTGGTCTCGATCTCCTGACCTCAAGTGATCCACCTGCCTCAGCCTCCCAAAGTGCTGGAATTACAGGCGTGAGACACCACACCTAGTCTTATATTATACTTTTCTTTGAGTAAATGAGAAAATATATATGATAGGGGGAAGGTATAAATTTTAGGAAAAAAATTTTGAAAGGTGAATTTTTCTATCTTCTCATATTAATTTAAAAACTAGAAATACTTTTTGTCTTACATTCCTAAACACATCTATAACCTTAAAAATAATAATAAAAAAAAAGGCCGGGCGCGGTGGCTCAAGCCTGTAATCCCAGCACTTTGGGAGGCCGAGGTGGGTGGATCACAAGGTCGAGAGATCGAGACCAACCTGGTCAACATGGTGAAACCCCGTCTCTACTAAAAATACAAAAAATTAGCTGGGCATGGTGGCGCGTGCCTGTAATCCCAGCTACTCAGGAGGCTGAGGCAGGAGAATTGCCTGAACCCAGGAGGCGGAGGTTGCGGTGAGCCGAGATCGTGCCATTGCACTCCGGCCTGGGTAACAAGAGCGAAACTCCGTCTCAAAAAAAAAAAAAAAAAAAAAAAAAAAAACTATCAGAAAAAAAAAAAATTGGTCTATTTCCTTCTTCTTCCCTCCACAAAGGTAGGACATTTATTTATCACCAACTGTTCTTCTATTGGCCCAGGATATATTTCATAACGCCCATCTCTAGTTACTAGGAAGCACACGGTACCTTAGGTCCACCTTCCCCAGGGAATCCTTCTTGTCCCTGTAATGGAGAGGAGGCACGTTAACGCAGGCACATATCACCCAGTGAGGTTTACATTGACTTTCATTTTACCTGCTGCCCTTTTTAGTTTTGATGCCTCTGAATTAAGAAAGGGCCAAAACAATTGAAATCTGGAAGCTAAATAGCAGTATCTGAGAAACAAACTTTAATTTATAAGTTAAAGTACTTAAGGGTTTCTTCAATATATTATAACTACCTAGGTGATTAAAAGTATACATCTGAAGAGTTGCAAATCGGCTTTCCTTCTTTTGTATGCATGTAACAGCATAGATGTTCATTTGGCCATGTGTCTCTGAGATGATCTTAAAATGGATTTCAATGGAGAAATCTAGAAAGCCTATGGAGAGTCTAAACATGATCATTCATTTTAGGGTCCTCTGTTTACTTCACTTTGTTCAAAGAATATAATTGAAGAGCTATAATAATCCCTATTAAATAAAAAAGTACATGATTAATTTAAAATAAAGTCCATTTTTCTGATTATAATAAATCCTCAAACACATATAAAAGCAAAAGAATAGAAAGAAAAATCACCAAAATCTTACTGCTCAGAATGATTATATTTTATCATATTTCCTTTTAGCTTTTTAAAATGCAACGTAATGCAATTGAGATAAAGGTTTTTCTGAGTATATTCTAAATTTTTACTTGAAATCGTCACATAATTTCTTTACATAATTATAAACTTCACATACATTCATTTTATAGGGTGGCTAAATTCCAATGCCATAGACTACTTAATATTTCCCTTCTTGTGGGATATTAAGGGATTATATAATGGAATATTAACTGTTCTCTGTTCTAATGAACATTACACTGGAAGTCTCTCATTCACTTGTTTTATTTCTCAGAAAGTTCTAGTGTTTCATTCTTTATTCTTCCAAACAGTCTCTTGCATTATTCTCATTGGAATTTCACTTGGAATTATGTTGATCCTATATACTATTTTAGACTTTCCAACAAGATCTTGGAATGCCTCGCCATTTATTGAAATTCTCTTTTCTATCTCAGCAATTTATTCTCAAAGATCTCAAACATTTTGCAGAAATGATATCCTTAACCATGTTATGATTTTTGCATTTTGTAATTATAATGGGATCTTTCTCATTCTGACTTCTTAGTGGTAATTGTTAGCATATAGAAATCACTGGTCTTTGTAAACTTCTCTCTCAAGTTCCAGCCTCCTAAATATTCAGTGACAATATAAAATTATTATTCTAATGTACAATTTTATTTTTAAGTTATTGCTTGGCCCAGTACATTTAGAAAACTCCTGCACAACCTCTCACTAATGGCTAAAGCAAACATGGTAAAAGGCAGCCTAATTCTGGAGCACTTCCCTGAGTAAACTTAAGCATAGAGCTGCTAAGATTACATACTCTGTTCAGGCTGGAACAAGTCAGACTTGGGCCACACATCACTGCAAAGAACAGAAAATGTATTTTCGAGTTTCACTTGTTGCCTGCACCTTCAACCACCACATTCTTTTCTCTCCTACCACATTCCTCATGGGATATCAGCAAATAAATTATCAAAATGTATTTCTAACTGTCCAAGCCTGCCTTATTCCCTGCTTCCCTTTTTCTCTTAATTGCAGCAAACAAAATAAGCAACAAAAAAATAAATGGAAAATGTCCAGCTTCCACCAGACGTCACTTACCTTTGCTCCCTTACGTCCAGCACTACCATAACCTGGACTGCCATCATTGCCCTGTAAACAGAGAAATTGATTACCAACATCCCAGACTACAGATAGAGGCAGGCTTATTCCTCAAGAGGACGAGACTGCCATCCTTTCTGGTTTGATAAAGAAAAACCAGGACGTAGGATCCTCCTTCTGGGGCAGGCCACCGACATTTTATGACAGTCATACTAAAGGCAATTGCACTGTCCCTTGGTATTCTCGTCTGTAAGCGGAGAATAATAATTATACTTCCTCATGTGTTGCTATGAAGATGAAATGAACAAAAAATCAGGCATATAATAATTTTTTAGTAAGAAGAGATAGTAGTATTACCTCTCCTGGATAACACTTGTATTTTAATACCATTTTTGATTTGCCAGACAAAAACAAAAAGTAAATGCCCCAGCATTGGCTACTGTCTGATACCTACAGAAACCCTGAGCAAAGGGGAAAGGATTGAATGGGTTTTTGATGAAGGGGCTCTGATAAAAAGAAAGGCCGGAAAAGGGGTCATGGGATTGCTGAAGACAAGTGTCACTATTTGGCTTCAAGAGCATTCTGGCCACGATGTATGGCACCTGGGGAATGGCCACCTTCGGAAGCCTGGCCAAGGAACTAAGATGAGGACAATATATCTCTCAATTTCCAGAAAATTATACAACTGCATCAAGATGATATCCTTAAAACTCTCTTTGGAGAAACACACCATGTATCTCCTGAACTAAAAGATTCCGAGAACCAGATAAAAACTAGTGACAAAATACGAACCTGTAAGCCACGAGGACCAGGAAAACCAATCGCTCCTTTTCCTCCCAGATCTCCAGGCTCTCCCTGTTAAACAGAGAGGGTGTTTTTAGGTTGGAAATGAGAAGTGATTGAACTAATTCAGCTCATCTGTGTGGCTCACACACAGCAATGGGTTGGTGCCTAGAACTGCGTGTTGTGCAAGCGATACAAGAGGAAGTGCTGTTGTTGGCCAGGGAGGTATCCTCCGTTGATCACTGAAGCCTCAGCAAGCGTGATTTATTGTTTAGCACAAGTTGCCATCTCAGCAGCTCAATGCCATGAAAATGAGTCAACAGAAAAGCTCTGTAATGTTTTTAAAAAATTAACAACATTGTTTCCAGGATGATTCATGCAAATCATCTGGTCCCTGCAAAAATGGCAGATTGATTAATCTAGTTTTAAGATACTGAATGAGAATGAAGATAAACAAGGGAGCATGACAACCTGGCAATAATTTCTAACTTCTGACTAGTAGAACATCTGCTGTGGTTTATTAATCCATCTCAGGATTATGTTGAGGAAAGTTCACCTACATGGGAAATCAGCATGGGTTTGTTTACAGAGGGAGTTCACTCCTTTTTATAAAAAGAAAATTTTAATTTTCAAATAATTTCAAATGTACAGAAATGTTGTGAACATAGTACAGAACGTTCCTACATATCCACATCAACTTGCCCCTATTCGTAACGTTGTATTACACTAGTTGCATTGGTAGAGTACGATACGTTTGTCACAACGGAATCAATACTGATTTATTAACGAAAGCCAGACTTTATTCAGGTTTTCTTTTCTTTTCTTTTATCTGATAGTCTTTTCCTGTTCCAGGATCCCATCCAGGATTCATATGTTATGTCTCCTTAGGCTCTTTTAGACTGGACGGTTTCTCAGACTTTTTTTTTTTTTTTTTAATAACCTTGACCATTTTGAGAAGTATTGGCCAGGCATTCTGTAGAATGTCTCTCATTGCTGTTTTTCTAGTGTTTTTCTGATTAGACTGGGCTTATGGGTTTGGGGGAGGAAGATCACACAGGTAAAAGGCCATTCTCATCACATCATATTAAGGGTATATACCAGGCGTCCCCAGACTTTTTACACTGGGGGCCAGTTCACTGTCCCTCAGACCATTGAAGGGCCGCCACATACTGTGCTCCTCTCACTGACCACCAATGAAAGAGGTGCCCCTTCCTGAAGTGCGGTGGGGGGCCAGATAAATGGCCTCAAGGGGCCGCAGGCGTGGGCCCTAGTTTGGGGACGCCTGGTATATACAATCAAGATGACATCACTGTTGATGTTAACCTCTATCTTCTGGTTGAGGTAGTGGCAGTCAAGTTTCCCTAATGCCAAGTTACTCACCATCTCCCTCCCCCTCTATACTGTACTCTTTGGAAGAAAGAGTGTGAAAGTGTGTACAACCTACACTTAAGAGGTAAAGAATCATTAAATCATTTTTAAGGACAGAAAAGCAACATAAGAAGGGCCAATGGACATGGGACCACCAACACTGAACTCTGGGAGTGATAAAGAATAGGATTCTATGAAAGGGAAGGAGGCGATCATCTGCCTTGGTGCCTTTTAGGACAGTGGTTCTCAATGTATGTTGGGGATTCCATTGGATTAGACTCTGGTAAGTGGAGCCCAACAACATGTGCTTTTACATAAGCTTCTCAGCTGACTCATATGCACACTAAAATTTCACATCTGCGTCACAGTAAGGAAACAGGAAAAGTCATATGGCTTGTCCAGGGCCATGTGCTTGGTTATTGGTAGAGTCAGGTGTCGAGCCCAGGATTAACTGCAAGGTTGCTTGCCTCCCAGAAATGTGAACTTACTGAAGTAAGGAAGGGGTAAGTGTTTGAGGTTTCTCTCAGTGAATCATGAATCTAGAGTGCCCAGTCCATCCTGGGGCAGTTCAGAGGGTTTGGGTTTTCTTTGGGGCACTTGCCTTCTAAATTCCTGACCCCCACTATTCCTACCAAGTCTCTATTATTAATAAGGATCTTCTAAGGCACCGCTGCCCTCCTTCTGTTTATCTACTTCCCCACGGTCACCTCTCGCCAGCTCTAGGGTTCCTTTATCTATGTCTACCCCCGGTAAGAGAAACTTGATTTTTACCAGTGATACCACTTTCCCCATAGCCTTCTTGGGGAGCAAGAAGGTAGCACTGTCTCTGTTCCAAACTGTGACTTCCTGATTACATGCCATATATTGCTGTACTACATGCCACAGCAGTCCCTTCTTTTTGCAGTTGATTGTTCTTGTCATATACGTACCGTGTTAGGTCCTCCAATGAACTGTTTTCGCAACACTCAACTGCTGGACTCGATTATATCAGCCTTGAGCAATTCTTCAGTACAAAGTTAACCCCTTTTCTTATGCCCTCAAGCTCATCCTCTTTGTCAAATTTCTCCATGAATCATCTACTCTGTCTACTGTTTCTTACATTTTCAATCTCCACTTTTCTCCCTGGTTTTCTCCGCTGATTATAAACACGCCAGTCTCTTCTGCCATTAAAAACAAACCAACATCCCACATCAACCTTTCCTAGACCTTGCCAGTATGAGGAGTTAATGTCTTCCTCTTCCCTTTAAAGGCCTAGTTTTTCCAAAGAGTAGTTTTCAGCCCTTTATGTATTTTCTCTGCACTCACTTCTAGGTGCTTTGCAGTCTGTCTCCATTTCTCTCAACTGCTGCACTTATGAAACTTCTTTAAAATGTCTTAGACACCAGATACAGTGGCTTCTCCACTCCTACCCTCCTTAACTTTACTGTATCAGTTGGTACTCTTCACCTCCCCTTCTTGAACTCTTCTCAGAATCCAGTGTGCTTTTCTGTTGATTTTCCTTCCTTCCTAATAATTCACTGTCTTATTTTTTTTCTTGTACTTCTTACTAAGAGGCATCATCAAGAGTTATTTTTAATCCAAATAATTCTGAAATTTACATCTCCAACCAGACCTAAACCCTTTTCTCTGTCCCGCAAGTGATGTTCTTTACTCTTAAACCAATTTCTCCTAATGAGTTTCCTGTGTCTGTGATGGGGTTACCACTCATGCACGAAGCCCCCAAGTCATCTAGCACACTCCTCTCTGCCTCAGTCTCCTATTGGAAGAGTTCTATGGAATCATCACCAGTTAAGTCTCACCCTGTTAAGTCACCTAATCACTATTTGCCTTGGAGACTTTGAGGGTGTACCAACTGTTCTCCTAGCTTTCAATCTCTCAGGCTTCATAAAATTTATTTTTTGGAGACAGAGTCTTGCCTGTCACCCAGGCTGGAGTGCAATGACACGATTTCAGCTCACTGCAACCTCCACCTCCTCGGTTCAAGCAATTCTCCCTGCCTCAGCCTCCTGAGTAGTTGGGATTACAGGCATGTGCCACCACACCCGGCTAATTTTTGTATTTTTAGTAGAGATGCGGTTTCACCATGTTGGCCAGCCTGGTCTGGAACTCCTAACCTCAAGTGAGGAGGTCAGGAGTTCAGCCTCCCAAAGTGCTGGGATTACAAGCATAAGCCACCACACCCGGCCTAGGCTTCATAATATTTCTACACTGAGTTGCCTATTTAAAATATTCCAGAAGTCTGGCTGTGTTCACCCACTCCATTCAAAAGTTTTAGATAACACTGTACTGGCTACTGAATAAAGTCACCACAGACTTGCATCATGACATGATCATTTTTCATGCCTAGATACCTCCTCTCTCTCAGGACTTTCCAACCTTGTCCCTCCCTTCACATGATTTCTTCTCATTACAGTTTCCCATATTCCCTTCTCTGCTTGCTAAAATTTTTATCTTCTAAGCCCTACTCAAAGTTTGTATTTCTTTATGATGCCTCTTTTCCCGTCCAAGAAATACTTCTAATAATGGTATTTAAACCTCCATTTTAGCCCCTGTCTCTATTTTATGTCATAGATTGTTATGACAATATCCTAGATTCTTTGGGGTTGGTTTCATGTCATATATATCATGCCACCCACAAATTCATTTATTCAATATTTACTAAGCACTCATTACATGCCAGGCACTATTCTAAGCACAGAGGGTGCCTCAATGAGAGAAATGAAGATCTCATTCCTGGAGCTGATTCTTCAGCCCAACTGAATGCTCAGTACAGGGCCTTGGTCTTAAAAGGTGTTTACCAAAGGTTTGTATGAATGGAGGAAAGAAAGAATGGTAGTTGGAAAAGAGAAAGGAAAGCCTGCCCCAGAACATCCCTTGGTCCCCGAGATCACTCAGCTCCAGCTGGGTGTATCCCTCCCCTCTCAAATTAGGCTGAGCTGGAATCCCTGATCTCATCCAGGTCCACACCCATGTCCTTAGAGGCTGCTGGCTCTCTAAGAATCAAGCCAGCGATTAGAGGCAAGGAGATGTGTTGTCGTTTGTGTTGAAAGGGCTCTGGCTAATACAACCAGACACAGGTCTCTCGAGCAGAAAACCTCAACTTTGGTGAGTATAAAGAATGTGACCTACTTTATTTCCTTGGCTTCCCAAACGGCCTTGATTTCCCGCTTCTCCTCCGGGTCCTGGAGGCCCCTGAAACAAACAAACAAAATTGGGATTGCAAATGCAGCAAAACATAAAGCCACTTTCCCTGAAAGCCTTTGTGTCTCTTATAAGAGGAAAATGAACCGCAGAAGGGAGAAGAGTTGTGGCTTTATCAATTCTTGTTCTGGAAAAAAGTATTGCCACCATCAAATAAAGACTAGTAAATACAAGAAAATTCAGAAAGTGATTCATGCCAGATGTTGTCTAAAGAATTGTGCTCCCTTGTGAGTCTTCCTCTTCCAAAGTGATTTTGGGTTCTGTTTTGCTCTAAGAACAGATGTTGCTAAAATGCCTAACACTTGAAGAAGCCATTCCAAATGACATTTGCCTTGAACTATAATCCTACTAGTCTTTTGGTAGAATACATTCTTTGGAAGACAAAATGAGCTTTATTGGAAAAGAATATGATATGTATATTAGAAAGTCCAAGAAACTTTACTAAAAACAGTGTTCATAAGATACATTCAGGGAGTATAAGATAAATATTCTGAAATAATTTTCTCTTTCCTAGTGATAAGTTAGAAAAGTAAATGTAAATAAATTCCCACTTACCAAAAGAAGAAAAAAACGGTAAATGCTTAGAATAAGTTTAACAAGAAAGATGCAAAACCTCAATTTAAAAAGCCTTAAGATCCTATTGAAGAACATAGCAAAACTTAAACAGATAAAGGTAACACATATCTATATGGAAAAGTTATTAGACATAATGGAAGTCCCTCCAGTGTTCTAGAAAGCATATTTCATTGGAACAGCTTTAGAGTGAATATTTTGAAATACCAGTTCAGAGATGATACAACTGCCTTTCTCTGGGATTAACATTTGGAATCAGGCCGGGCGCAGTGGCTCAAGCCTGTAATCCCAGCACTTTGGGAGGCCGAGGCGGGTGGATCACAAGGTCGAGAGATTGAGACCAACCTGGTCAACATGGTGAAACCCCGTCTCTACTAAAAATACAAAACATTAGCTGGGCATGGTGGCACATGCCTGTAATCCCAGCTACTCAGGAGGCTGAGGCAGGAGAATTGCCTGAACCCAGGAGGCGGAGGTTGCAGTGAGCCGAGATCGCGCCATTGCACTCCAGCCTGGGTAACAAGAGCGAAACTCCGTCTCAAAAAAAAAAAAAAAAAAAAAACCAAACACATTTGGAATCAGATTTCTCCTTTGGGATATCTGAACACGGTAAAACTGTTTACTGGCATTTGTAAATAAAACTGTTTACTGGCATTTGTAAATAAAACTGTTTACTGGCATTTGTAAATAATCCCAATCCCAGTGAACTGAAATTATTTTCACAATTTTTTTGGCCATGGCTGTTATAATGTAAATGTAAATAAACCAACCTCTGTGTAATGAGCATGATCCTTGCAAATTTATTGCATTCAGAACAAAAATATTGTGACATTAATATTTTCATCTTTTAAACATTTTAAAAAGCAATGCATTGGACATAAAAAATTTTCCAATAGGAAGGATTGTTGAACAATAAATTGGTTACTAACAAAGAGAATAATCTTTCCACAATACCCTATGTCTCCCCCTTCCTTTATCTTTAAAGAACATTCTCAATACTGTCACCCTCCATAGATAGCTCTCAACCCATTCCCTTCTTTTACTTCCAGCACTACACAGAGCTAACTCCTCTGACTTTCGTGTTCAGTGCAGTTGACATTTCTTCACCCTGACCTTTTCGAGTTTGATCATGCGTTCTTTGAGGCTTCTCCTGTAACTTCTGTCACACCAAGTCACCATGGTCCTCCTGGCCCCTCTCCGGCCTCCTCGCATTAACCTTTGAAGACTCCCCATATTCTATGACCCTCTTAAATTCTGTGTGCCCCTGGGCTCCATCGTCTGACCTCATTTATCTCACTTTACCCCCTCTTCCTGAGTGGCACCCCTATGAATTCGCATACCACTTCTACACAATGACTCCTGAATACATGCTCTTCAGTCCCAACCACTCAACTGAACACCAGAGTCATATATTAAAAGGCTGGGTAACAACGCAAGACTCTATGCCACAAAACAAACAACCACACACACACACACACACACACACACACACACACACACACATACACACACACAAAACTCACGAGAACTAGCCAGGCATGGCAGGACACACCTAGAGTGCCAACTACTTGGGAGGCTGAGGCAGGAGGATCACTTGAGTCTAGAAGTTCAAGGCTACAGTGAGTATAATTGTGTCACTGCATTCCAGCCTGGGTGATAGAGTGAGACTCTGTCTCTCTAAATAAATAAATAATAAAATAAAATGCCCATGGGACATCCAATAGAAATGGATTCTCAAAATAACCATCTTTACCCTAAATCATGCTTCCAGGCTCATATTCTTTTCCTCAAGGAATGCTATTACCCTTTACTACCATTGAGACTCATGCCAGAAACCTGAGAATTACCCTGGACCCTCCCACTATGTCACTTCTCAAAACCCCTCAGCTGCAAGGCCCACAGAATCTGTCTACTTTCTGTACCCCTCCCTCTTCCATTCCCATTATTTGCCTTCACAGGCCCATCTTGCATTCTGCCTAAATTTCTGGCTCTCCTAACTGTAGCCAGGACTTTCTCTAATCCATTCTCCACCGTTTTTAGAGAGAGATTAAAAATGCCAGGCTGATGTTACCGCTTTGTCTGAAATTCTGAGTATCTTTCAGAGTAAAGTTTAAGGTCTGTTTAATATGCAAAAATACCTCAAAGTGCTGGTATTGCATGCCTCTGGAGCCTCCTTTTCTGTGACTGCTTTCATTGCTTTATGTTCAGGCACATCAAAGCAAGCAATTCATCTAAGGTTTGTCTTCCGTTGCCACGCTTATGCAAATCGTTCCCTTAGCTGGCCCATTTTTTCCCCTCTAGGGAGAGGTAAAATCTCACTCCTCTGAAAAATCCTACCTTTACCATCACCATTTTAGGAAGAATACCTGAACTTCCTGGCTGTGTTGGGTCTCATGCTTGTACCCCAGGTTCCTCTATTCTATATGTCATTGTTAGCGTATTTCTCTCTCTCATTCCTTAGAGACTAGGCTGTATACTTCTTGAATGGGCACATCCTATTAATCCATATCTCTGGAGCATCGCAGAGTACCTAGAACCCATCAATCCATTCATTTGTCTACCCAGGAATGATTCTCAAGAGGGATGAACTAATGTGTTTAATTTGTTGGTTTCTCATATAAAATTTTCATATACTTCACAGAGAAGCAGAGAGATTCTAATTTTCCTGGAAAACAATATATAAATTGGAAGTTCTGCCTAGAAGCCTACTCTCCATTCTTCATGCGAACATAAATTCTGAATCAGAGGAGGTTTTAGGGTGATTATTTCATGTGTAGTTACCTCAAGCACACACAAGCACAATGAGAGATTATCCTGTTTTAAGAACTTTCAAAATAAAAAATATCTTGGATGAATAGATGGCTGGATACATACAGGACCTTGCTATTAGAGAATCAGAAAACCTGATTTTGTTTCCTATGCGGGATCTTGCAAAGCACCAAAGTGAGGTTTATGAAGTGAGTGAATGGGGCGCAAGCTTCAGTGAATGGTTATGTAGATAAATCACCTACTCAACTACTGCAGGTTAGATAAGGAACTACACTGGTAGTTTCTAAAGGAAAGAAAAAAAATTTATCATCCTAAGAAATATATCAAAGAGTGAAAGAGTTTACTTGATTTGAGATCAAGAAGAGCTAAGGAGTGTCAAGAGAAGCTTAGGGCATTTAAAGGGGAAGGGCATTAGCTAGAGATCAAATCTTCATTGGCTTGTTGTAATGGCTGCCTTTTATTGAGCACTCATATTTTGTGCAAGGCACTGTGCTGAGTGGTAAATAGAGTCTTCAATTCTCACAACAACACAATGAGATGCCTGCTATTAATCCCATTTACTGATCAAAAACAGTTTCTCAAGACATTTACACCCAAATTGTTGAGTTAGTAAAAGGATGAGATAGGAATTGAACCTAATTGTATCTGACGCTAAAGACTAAAGTCCCAGCCACTATGTCTGCTGCTCTGAATTAGCCCAGAATGGAGTTCTAAAAATGTGGCTTTCTAAAGTTGATGCATAAGACTGGGGCCACATCAAACCTCCAAAAGTAGGACTTGGTTGAGGGTCTTTTTCTCATGTTGAGAGTTAGTTACAGAGCCCTTGGCAACCACAACTGCTTTAGTGTTAAGCAAGGATAGGAAAGAAGTACTTAGAGGTTGATGTTTTTTGAAAATTGTGCTTAGCCCTTTATCAGAAGAGATTACACTTAGAAGTTGGGGATTAATGGCTGGGGCATTGCCAAGGACACCTTGACTTTGGATTAGATAAGGCAGGGCAGGTAGAAGAGGTAAAGGGTCTTCCCACACTTAAAAGGAATCCTTGTCACTTCTTTTTATTCGCATGGGGGTAATATTGTACAAAAACTCACCAGAAACAAATATCAAGGTGGGAAACAAGACAAGGAGATCAAATGCTCAGCTTCTCTAAAAGTTAGATATCAGCTAAGTCTGAGAAAACAAAAATCAAGAGGCCATCCAGTGGTGGGCTCATGCGAAAACAACCCCAAAACATTGGAGACGTCAAGCTTGACAATACTAGTTCTTAACCTTAGCTTCTGATACTTCCCCATGCATTCTGTACTCCAACCATATTGAACCATTTGTGATTCCTAAAACTCACCTTCCTAGCTCTGTGAAGCTTGGTTCTGTCCTCTTTCTGGATGCCTGCCTTTTCCCCTGGTTACCCGGAAAACACCTGCTCATTTAGCAAAACTTAATACACTTACCTCGTTTAACTCCATCCTTTACCCCATCACCTACCTTGAGTGTAATTCTCTTTTAACATTCCGCAAATCACATGTCAATTATTTGTCAGTATTAGCCCCCTTTATGAGACTGGGTATACATGAGGCTAGAGTCTTTACCTGATTCATCCTTGTATCCTAGAATACAGCCCGCCACACAAGCAGCACTTAGTAAATGTTTGT